CCCAAGATAACGAAAACGAGACATATCAAAGCCATTGCAAGCTGAGAAACGACTGCCGCCGAAAGCGTTAATTGGCTGAATTTCATCAGCAAACGACCCGCCGGAATCAGAAATCCCAAAAGCCCGACGATCATCAAAAAATGCATAATATGTTTGCGTAAATTTTCTTTGGTGAGCGCGAAAAATCCGAGAATCGCGATCACCAAACCGAAAACCGCCGGAATAAATGCAGTCATACTCGCATTTCCGTTCATCATTCCGTAAACATAGCCGATAATTCCGACCAGAATCAGTAAAACACCGCAAATAATAGAAGTAGATGGCATAAATTTTTCTCTCAGAGATATATAAAAGATATAGTTACAAATTAACAAATTCCGAGCGTGTTAAGAAAGTGGACGAAACAAATAATTCCGTGACCAAAAGTTTCGAGTCCCGCCTTCAGGCGGCTTTTCGTTAAATGAAAGCCGCCTGAAGGCGGGACTCGAAACGCTTGAATTGATTTTTCAGACGGCTTTTATTATTAAAAAGACATTATCAGTTTTTGGTTATCAATTGCATCAATTGGTCGGCGCGGCTCAAGTCAAACGGGCGGAGTTTTTCGTATTGCTGACGCGCTTTTGCATCATATCCGGCGGCTTCGGTGGTTTTGGCTTTGGTTTGCGGTTGCTGTAATCTGGTTTGATTTCGCAGATTTACATAAGCCAATCCGAGATTGTAATAGCCGTCTTTAAGTTTCGGATCGAGTGCGATCGCTTTTTCATAAAGCGGAACCGATTCCGAATAGCGTTTCAGTTTGAGATAACTGTCGCCGAGATAAAGATGCGCTGATGCCCAATTCGGCGAATATTTGATGGCATTTTGATAATGTTCGATCGAGAGCGCGAATTTATTGTCATTATAATAGGAATTTCCCAAACCGAGATGCGCTTCGGGAAAATCGGGTTTGATGCGCAGAGCTTCGCGAAACTCGGGAATGGCTTCGGGAAATCTTTTTAATTTATTGAAAACGTCGCCCAGTTCGCGGTATGCATAATGTGCATCGGGTTTTAATCGAATCGTTTCTCTGTAAGCTTTTATCGATTCTTCGTATTGTTCGATGCCTTGCAGAGATTGCGCCAACCTGTAACGTGCGCCGACATCTTCGGGACGCAGTGAAAGCGACTTTTTGAGCGATTCGACCGCGAGCGAATGATTTTTGGAGAAATTGTGTGCGATTCCGAGTTCGCGGTAAGCGGAATAATTGTTCGGATCGATTCTGATCGCCGTTTGATAAGCGGTCACGGCTTCGGTGTAGCGGTTGGCAATGTCATACTCCGTTCCGAGTTGAACCCACGCGGCATAATAATCGCTTTTCACCCGCACCGCATCGCGGAGAGCGGTAATAGCTTCACTGCCGCGTTTCAAACGCGAATAGCTGAGTCCGAGATTGAAATAGGCT